GAGGAGGCGGCTGAGGTGCCTGGGGTATCGAGGCTGGGGGAGGCGCCACAGGGACAGCAAGCGCACCCCCAGCAGATGGGCCCCCAGAGTCAGCCGACTCCCCCACAGGCGCAACTGAGGGGAACTGAGTGGCATGGGAGACACCAGACTGGGCCGGGCGGGGCGGGAGGGATGCGGCAGGCAGGGCTGGTACAATGAAGAGAGGAGGAGGAGGCACAGGAGCGTTGCGTTGCGGGGAGTGCCGGTAGTAGGGGAGCGTTTCGTCGAAGGTAACGTCACGAGAGTGGTAAATACGGTGGTGTGACGGGCGGTAGAACACCCAGTCAGAGGCGTCAAGCGGAAACCCTAGGAAGACACAAGGAAGGGTGCGGGCTGAGAGCTTGTCCACGCGAGTGTCACAGACGTGAGCAAGGCTTCCCAAGACGTGGAACGCAGATGCGTCACCAGGAGACTCGGCCCAGAGGAGGGTCGGCGAAACCTGTGGCCACTGGGAGCTCGACCACAGGTTAAGCTGGTGAGCAGCGTAGCGCACGGCGAACGGCCACAGAAAATGGGGTGCACTGGCGTGGACCATGGAGGTGCGAGCTACCTCCATGATCAGGCCGATGCGTTACTCAATGACCCCGTTCTGCTATGGGGAGTTCGGCAGTGTTTACGACTGGCGGATGCCCTCTGCACGACAGAACTGTCCTAGAGTGCCAGAGGCGGACTCGCCACCACGGTCAGAGTGTAAGCGACCTACAGGCAGGCGGTGGTGGGTGCGAACAGTAAGAAGCCACGGGAGGAGAGCGGTAGGCACGTCGGCCTTCCGCTCCAATGGAAACACTGTGGTGAAGTGAGAGAAGTCATCAACGATGAATAGAAAGTAGCACTCTCGACTAAGACCATGGACCCCCAGACGTCCATGTGCAGCGACTGTAGTGGCACTATGGTAGGAGGAAACGAGGAGGAGTGAGGGGCGGCGCGCTGCCAGCCCTCGACGCAGGATGTGCACAGTGGCGCTACCGATGTAGGCAGTGCGGGAAGCGACGCAAGGAGACCCGTAACTAGACTGTGCTGGGACATATGCCTAAGGCGAGGGAGTGCAGGGTGACCTCAGCGGTGGTGCCACAGAAGGGTCGGGTGGGCTATGGAGCGACAGAAGCAGGACGCGGCAACCGCTGCAAACGCAGCAATCGGCGGGGACTCAGTATGGAGTGTAAAGAGAAATAACCATGGGTCATGCTCAAACGTGACTAAGTGCCGACTGGTGGTTGTGTCTGTGCAAGCGGCGTGTCTCTCGCGGCCAGGGAACGTAATGGTGACGCCTCGGTCCTGAAGGTGACCGACACCCACTAGGTTCCTGGTAAAAGAGGGGATGTGCAGACCGGTGAGGGAGCCGGAGGGGACAGCTGGACAAGGGAGAGTGGTGGTGCTACATGCGACAGCTGTGGCAGAGGAGTCTGTTAGTGCGACACTTACAGGCGCAAGAAGCGGGGTGAGAGCAGTACTGTCTCTAAAGAAGCAACGAGATGCGCCCGAGTCAAGGATAAAGGAGAGGGCAGCTGCTGCTGCTATTGCTACGGCTGCTGCTGTGGCACTGGCCAGAGAGCCCGGAAGCAAACGTCGAGGTCGTGGAGCCAGAAGCCAATGAGGTCACTAATGTGATCCTCTAGGAGCATGCAGTCTAGGTGTGTGCTCACCAGCTGTTGACGATGAACGAGATATCAGAGAGCAGAGGGAAGTGCTCAATGGTCTGGCCGAGGGACTGACCCAAACGAGGCCATCATGCCGAGAGGAGAGGCATCAAGGAACTCTAGAAACGAGGAGGAGACTAGTGGGAGGCACTAGGTGCTAGAGGAGTACAATCGGAGGTAGTAGCAGTGGCGACTATGGCCAGAGCAGTGGCAGCGAGCACGAGGCTGGTAGCAGCAGCGGATAGTGATAGTTTGATGGCAGTAGCAGCTAGCTGGCGGCTGGCGGTAGGCTAGGAGCTGCTAGGAGGAGTGGGGAGCAAACGAGGAGGAAGTACACGCGAGAGGATCTCCTAGGAGCAGTAAGCCAAGGAGCTAGCTAGGAGGCACTAGGACTGGCGGCACAAGACGAAGGACAGTCCACAGGGCATGGGGGGCTCACGTGGCAGGCGGCCGACTGGCGACTGGCGGCTGGCGGCCGACTGCCGCTGGCGGCTGGTGGCCAGTGGCTGGCCACGAGTGGTGGCAGTTGGCGGCTGACGGCTGAGGGTCGGCGGTCGGCTGGTGACTGGTGCTGGCAGCTGGTGGCCGGCTGCTGGAGGCCGAAGCTGATGGTGGGCAGCAGCAGTGACGACAGGAGTAGCAGCAGCGGCTGCAGAGGCAGCGGCAGCTGTAGCGGCAGTGGTGGCAGCGGCTGCAGTGGCGGCAGCAGCGGCTGCGGTAGTGGCGGCTGCAATGACAGTGGGTGGCAGTAGGCAGCAGCGGGGCGGCAGCGGGCAGTAGTAGCTGTGGTAGTGGCAGTGGGTGGCAGCAGCCGGCGCTGGCTGCTGGCTGTTGGCGGCTGGCGGTTGGCGCTGGCTGCTGGTTGCTGGCGCTGGTGGCGCTGGTGAGCCAGCAAGCTGGCTGCTAGCTGCTGGTGCTGGCTGCTGGTGATGCTGGCTGCTGGCGCTGCTGCCTGCTGGCTGGCGCTGGCGAGCTAGCTGGTGCTGGCTGCTGGCGCTGGCTGCTGGCTGCTGGCGCTGGTGGCTCTGGTGAGCCAGTGAGCTGGCTGCTGGCGCTGGCTGCTGGCACCGCTGGCAAGCAGGGGAGCAGACGGGCTGGTGAGCAGTCGAGCGGGCAAGCAGGCGGGCAGGCGAGCAGGCGAGCCGGCGAGCAGGCGCACTGGCAAGCAGGGGGGCTGGCAAGCAGGGGGGCTGGCGGGCTGGCGGGCTGGCGAGCAGGCGAGCGTGCAAGCTGGCGAGCAGGCTGTCTGGCGGACTGGCGAGCAGGCGGTCTGGCGGGCAGGCGAGCAGGCGGGCAGGCAACCAGGCGAGCTGGTGAGCGTGCAAGCTGGCAAGCAGGCGGGCTGGCAGGCTGGCGAGCAGACGAGGCGGACTGGCGAGCGCGAGCAGGTGAGCGTGCGAGCTGGCGAGCAGGCGGGCTGGCGGGCTGGCGAGCAGGCGAGCGTGCGAGCTGTCGAGCAGGTGGGCTGGCGGGCTGACGACCAGGTGAGCAGGCGGGCTGGCGAGCAGGCGGGCTGGCAGGCAGGCAAGCAAGCGAGCACGCGGGCGGGCGAGCGGGCGAGGAGGCGAGGAGGCGAGCGTGCGAGCTGGTGAGCAGGCGGGCTGGCGAGCATGCGAGCAGGCGGGCTGGCGGGCTGGCGAGCATGTGAGCAGGCGGGCTGGCGCGAGCTGTCGCAGGCTACGAACGGGTGCCGGGAGGTGGGACGGCTTCGAACTAAGGCGCTGGCACGCGCGGCGGCTGGCGTGAGCCACGCGACGAAGAGGAGAGGGCAGGGAGGGGACGAGCTACGAGGCGCACAAATAGGGCCGAGGCACGCTAGGCTAGGGTGTGCTAGGGTGGAAGCGTGAGTAGAGGGCGAGACCTAGCTTTAGATGTCATGTTAGATTGTCGAGAGTGATGAACTAAGGGAAAATGTCGAGGGTTACTAAGGTAGGACTGTACCCTCTAAGACCTGACCTAGCTAAGGCTATAACAAATATAAACTGGTAGCTAGCCTAGAAAATTATATTTGTTTTGCATTTGACATTGAAATAAATAGCCTTATTATATCGTGGTGTGGGAAGGGAAGGAAGGGTTTCTGTCATCTTATTGCAAAGAGGGACTGGGGTTGCCAGCAGCACCAGGGCGTGAGGTTGGGACTGCGCTGCTAGCCTGCTCAAGAAAATGGATTTTTTTTTTTTTTTTTTTAAATTGTTTTTTTGCGCTGGCAGCAGGCCCCCAAATTGGTTTTGGGCTTGTCTGATTCATCAGACTTGTCTGCCATCTCTTGGTATGGCCTTCAGAGTCGCCCCCTAAAAAAAGTCTGAAAAATCAGAGTAACAATAATTTATTTGTCTGATTAATCAGAGTTACCATTGTTTTTAACTCTGATTTCAAAGTGAGTGTTTTGCACGTTACTTTTCCATTCCCTTCCCAACCGCTGCCCTCATAATTCTTGCTTGAGGGGCTTTCTCTCGCGTGCGCTCCCTACCGTATCTGTGTTCTGGCGGCGGCGCGGAATTTCGCGGCACCCTAGGCCCGGCCCCGCGCTGGTGCGGGTTTGGTTGATCAGCGAGGCTCATGGCAAAGCTGTGCTGTATTGTACAGCGCTCTTGCCAGGCCTGACAGAAGATTTTTTTACTTTGATAATCTCCCAGACAGACTGACATACGATTTTAAAAATTTTAGGTGAGTCTTTCACGGTTTCTATCCCTTCCCCTCCCCGTTCCGTGTCTAGTAATTTCGCGTGCCTGAGGTACGGCGACGATATCGGTTGGTGGAGAAACGGGATCGTGGCGAATTGCGAATGGGGGACGAAATCGAGGGATGGGGGCGGAAAAGAATTGGGGGGCGGGCAAATCAAAATTGCAGGGGAGGTAGGGAAATCGGGGCCATCCAGGTGGCTATTCGTGAAGGGCCAATGGGTGCCCTCGCACACACAGCCCGCTGCAGTGGCAAGCACACCTCTGCAAAATTTTCCAAGGGCCAATCAGCCCCTCACACCGCACGCATCACAAACTGGGAGGTGATTTTGGTGAAGGGCCAGTCACCTCCCTCACACAGCCCCCAGTACACATCGGCCAGCGATTTTGGTGAAGGGCCAGTCAACTCCCTCACACAGCCCCCAATACGCATTGGCCGTTGATTTGGGTGAAGGGCCAATAACTGCCCTCACAAAGCCCCCCACAAGCATCTCGCCCTGATTTTGGCTAAGGGCCAATCAGCACCCCCCCACAGGTAAATCACGCTCCCCCCCCTAAACCTGGCATTACACAAATCAGAGTCGACCCCCCATACAGAGTTGAGGCATCAGAGTACACTAGTAAAAAAAGTCTGAAAAATCAGCGTAGGTACATAAATCTTCTCTGAAAAATCAGAGTAAGGTACAAAAAAAAGTCTTCCCAATCAGAGTACACCCCCAAAAAAACTCTGAAAAAAGTCTGAATCAGAGTAAAAAGTCTGCAATTTGGGGGCCTGGCTGGCAGGGAGTACAGTAGCCGTGTTACTCGTTTTTCTTTCCGCCACATGGTTTTTGTGCGGTTTGCATGGTTAGACACCCTCAAAAGTCGGCATACAGCACCATCCTAGAACACACCATACTAGTACCTCCCCCTACCCCTTCCCCTCAACCCCCCTCGTCCTCCCCTCCGCCCTCCACGGCCCGAAGGCGACCACCCTCCTCCCCCTCCTCCCCCTCGTTCTCCTCTTCCTCCTCTTCCTCCTCTCCCCCCTGCTCCTCGCCCTCTGCTCCCGTCCCCACGACCCCAGGCCCTCCCCCCTCCTCTCCCCCTGCCTCGCCCAAACCCTCTCCCTCTACCTCTGCCTCCCCTCGCTCCTCTACTGCCCTCATACCCTCCCCCCACAAAGGCTGGAACAGAGGAGAGGTGGGAGGGGGAGTGGGAAAAAAGGGGGGACAAGGAGCAAGAATGAGTACGCAGGGAGAAGAGTTTACAATGAAGTTTTGACAGGCTGTTGTGGGCATGACAAGCGGAATAGCTGAGCTGGCTGACCTGGCGGAGAGAAAGTCGGATGGCTGTTATGAATGCCTCTGACAACTAATGCCTCTGTCAACTAATGCCTCTGTCAACTAATGCCTCTGTCAACTAATGCCTCGGTCAACTAATGGCTCGGTCAACTAATGCCTCTGTCAACTAATGCCTCGGTCAACTAATGCCTCGGTCAACTAATGCCTCTGTCAACTAATGCCTCGGTCAACAAATGCCTCGGTCAACTAATGCCTCTGTCAACTAATGCCTCGGTCAACTAATGGCTCGGTCAACTAATGCCTCTGTCAACTAATGCCTCGGTCAACTAATGCCTCGGTCAACTAATGCCTCTGTCAACTAATGCCTCGGTCAACAAATGCATCGGTCAACTAATGCCTCTGTCAACTAATGCCTCTGTCAACTAATGCCTCTGTCAACTAATGCCTCTGTCAACAAATGCCTCTGTCAACTACTGCCTCTGTCAACTAATGCATCTGTCAACTAATGCCTCTGTCAACTAATGCCTCTGTCAACTAATGCCTCTGTCAACTAATGCCTCTGTCAACTAATGCCTCTGTCAACTAATGCCTCGGTCAACTAATGCCTCTGTCAACTAATGCCTCTGTCAACTAATGCCTCTGTCAACTAATGCCTCTGTCAACTAATGCCTCTGTCAACTAATGCCTCTGTCAACTAATGCCTCTGTCAACTAATGCCTCTGTCAACTAATGCCTCTGTCAACTAATGCCTCTGTCAATTAATGCCTCTGTCAACTAATGCCTCTGTCAACTAATGCCTCGGTCAACTAATGCCTCTGTCAACTAATGCCTCTGTCAACTAATGCCTCTGTCAACTAATGCCTCTGTCAACTAATGCATCGGTCAACTAATGCATCGGTCAACTAATGCCTCTGTCAGAGAGAAAGACAAGAGAGCCGGGCAAGCAGAGGCAATGGGAGGGAGCAGAGGCAATGGGAGGGAGGGAGTTGTTGGTATTTTTCATTAGCACGGTGGAATAACCTCCTATGATTCGCACCAGGCAGTCGGCACTCACCATCATTGGGTTCCTCCCCAATCTCCTTGCACCAGTGACCAATTCACGTTGGTAAGATGGGCTTGCTTTTGAGTCGACTCAAACGCGATACGCTCCACGTTTTCAAGATGCGCTTGAGTTGAGAGAAGAGTAAAGAGGGGTCATGAGAAGGGAAGTCCACACTCACTGTCATCGGGCTCCTCCCCAATCTCCTTACGATAACAGTCCGGTGGGTGCTCTGTCCTCGACCCACAAGAAACCCGACCCCCTACCCGACAGCGACCTCAACTCCCATACCACACGTGGACACTCACTGTAATTGGTTTCCTCCCCAAGCCAGACCAAGCCACCGTGAAGCTTTAGAGTTGATGGGAACGTATGGAAAGAGGGGCAATGATGAGGCAGTTTGGCACTCACTGTCATCGGGCTCCTCCCCAACCTCCTTGCGGTACCACCCCGCATCGTCTTCCTCCTCCTCCTCCTCCTCTCCCTCCCTCGCCCCCACTGCCCTCCCTTGCTCCTCCTCCCCGCTGTCGTCCCCCTCAGCCGCCTTGCCCTTCGACGCCTTGAGCCTGGTGGAGGGAGGGATAGGAACAAGAGACGGAAGCAGGAGGGAGGGAGTAGCAAGGGCGTGAGCAGGAGGGACGAAAGCTGCAGGGGTGGGGGCAGCGAAGGAGTGAGGAGAAGGGATAAGAGCAGTCTGTTCCCCTTTCCCCCCCTCAGCCGCCTTGCCCCTCAGCCGCCTTGCCCCTCAGCCGCCTTGCTTGCCCCTCAGCTGCCTTGCCCTGCCTCTCCTTCTCCTGCTCCCTTCATCTCCCTCTCCCTCCCTTCATCTCCCTCTCCCTCCCTTCATCTCCCTCTCCCTCCCTTCATCTCCCTCTCCCTCCCTTCATCTCCCTCTCCCTCCCTGCATCTCCCTCTCCCTCCCTTCATCTCCCTCTCCCTCCCTTCATCTCCCTCTCCCTCCCTTCATCTCCCTCTCCCTCCCTTCATCTCCCTCTCCCTCCCTTCATCTCCCTCTCCCTCCCTTCATCTCCCTCTCCCTCCCTTCATCTCCCTCTCCCTCCCTTCATCTCCCTTCCCCTCCCAGCATCCCCCCGCCAGACTCACATCTTTTTCCGCCGCACATTCGCCTCCTGCTCCTCCTTCCGCCTCTTCTTCTCCCTCAGCCGCTCCTCCGCCCTCTGCTGCAGATCCGCCTCCTCCTCCGCTGTCTTCTCCACTGCCAAGTGAGGAGGGGAGCAGGGAGGCAAAGGAGAGGGTAAATAATGTGATGTGAACAGAGGTGTCTGCTGATGCCAGCCGTCCGCCCTCTGCAGCAGATCCCCATGGCCTCTGCTTCGTGCAGCGCCTAGAAGCAGAGGCACCCCACCCACCATACCTCCCCTTCTTCACCCACCCTCCCCCTCCTCCGGAACCGATGGCATATGACAGTACCAGTGGACAGCCCCTCCTCCACCTCCACCTGGGAAGTGCCCAGTACCAGCTCCCCGCCCCCCTCCCCCACACTCTGAGCCCGTGCACTTCCGCCACTCCCCCCACTCCCCGCACTCCACACACTTGCCCCTCTTCCCCCCCCCCCCCTTCCCACTCACCGACTCGGTGGTACATGACGGCACTGTTGGGAAACCCCTCCTCCACATCTACCTGGGAAGAGCCCAGCATCAACTCCCCTTCCCCCTGCCTCCCCTCCCCCCCTCCCCCACTGCCCCCCTTTCTTCCCACTCACCCTGGCACATGACAGCACCGCTGGACAGCCCTTATCTCGCACAACTTCCCCACTTCCCCCACTCCCCCCACTCCCCCTCCCTTCTTCCCGGCCCCCCCTCCCCCCCTTCCACTCACCGAATCGGTGGTACATGACGGCGCCGTTGGAGAGCCCCTCCTCCACCTTGACCAGTAGCAGCGTGACACGTGGCCCCAGTTCGTGCAGCTTCACCTGGCTCTGCTGCGCCGCCCGCACGCCCCGCCCCATGTCCTGGGGGGCCTGCACCCTGCTGCCCTCGTCTGCTTCACTGTCTGACGCATAGGCTGCCGGCCTGTGTGGGTGGAGGGGGGGACAAAGCAAGAGGCAGCACAAAACGCAATGATTGCCTGCATGCCCCGCCCCATGTCTTGAGGGGCCTGTACCCTGCTGCCCTCATCCGCCTCGTTGTCTGAAGTGTAGGCTGCGGCTGCAGGTCTGTAGGGTGTAGGGAGTTAAAAAATGGGAGGCAGCACAAACACATTGGTTGCCTCGTTCGACTCGACCCCCCCACCACATGTCCTGGGGGGCTTGCAGTCGACTGCCCTCGTGGTCACTTATATCGATCAATCTGCAACTTGTAACGATGCTGAAGGTGCCTTGAAACGAGTTCGCTGATATCGGAGAGGTGGCTGACGTTGGGCGGGGCGTGGTGGCTGCAGCAACCTTCTACCTTGTAACGAGTTCGCTGATATTGGAGAGGTGGCTGAGGTTGGGCGGGGCGTGGTGGCTGCAGCAACCTTCTACCTTGTAACGAGTTCGCTGATATCGGAGAGGTGGCTGAGGTTGGGCGGGGAGTGGTGGCTGCAGCAACCTTCTACCTTGTAACGAGTTCGCTGATATCGGAGAGGTGGCTGAGGTTGGGCAGGGCGTGGTGGTGCACCAGGTTGCGCAGCGGCTTGGACACCCCCACGGGGCGAGCAGTGATGGCGTAGTGCCGCAGGTCGATGGTGCCCGTGGCTGGGTCGTGGTTGAGGAGAAGCACTCGCCTGCAGTCAGACAGTTTCACCTGGTGTTGAGGAGGGATGAAATAAGGCGACATGGGTTGACATAAGGTGACATGGGATGCAATAAGGTGACATGGGATGCAATAAGGTGACATGGGATGCAATAAGGTGACATGGGATGCAATAAGGTGACATGGGATGACATAAGGTGACATGGGATGCATGGAATCGGAGGGGATGGGCACGGCTTGGACGCCCCCACTGTGTGGGGGAAAGGAGAGGGGGGGAGGGAGAGGGGTGGGGCCGGGGTAGTGACGCATACCAACCAATGGTGTCACTGGCTGGGTCGTGGTTTATCTTCTCAATGAAACTCTAACGGGAGCGCTACAGACAGACAAGGACAGAGGCGGAAACAGATGACCTTATTGGAGGGGAACATGCAAGTGAGCAGGAGAATGGAGACGAGGGAGAACACAGTGGGGCAGTAGTGGCAGTGCGGAGTTGAGTGGTCTTGCAGGAGGGGAGGGTGTGGTGACGAGTTGGTGCAAGGTGGAGAAGTTGTTGCAGAAGCGGAACAGGACTGCGGCAGCAGAGGAAGGAGGCTTGCTAAAGATGCACCAATGGACGTTGGTGTCACCTTCGCCTTGTTCTTCCACCACCAGGACACCAACGATTGCACACACATCTTTAACAGCCCCTTTCTCTGCTGCCACGATCCTGTTTCTCCTCCGCATTTCACCAACTCGTGACCACACCCTCTCCTCCTCAACACAACCCACTCCGCACCCACAGCCTGCCACTATCGTCTCACAGCCTTCTACTCCCTCATCTCCATCCTTGTGCTAAATCGACAATCTCCCTCCAACTTTCCTATCCGTTTTCCAAACCGGTCGTGGTCGTAGAGGAGCATGTGAATGGTGTCAGATAGTGGGTTGGAGCTTAGTAGAGTAGAGACGTTGATCGAAGAGAACACGATATGAAAAATGATACTCATGAGCTTTAGTTGCCCTGATGATTGATGAAATTGCATTGTGAGTGATATGATTGAAGCACGCACCGTGGAGACGTTGATGGGCGGGAACATGTTTTGGAACATGATGGTCATCAGCTTCAGATGCTCCGTGCCACTCCTGCCCGTCGCTCCCATGCCATTCATCACCACCTGGTTGCACGCATGGGGGGGGATGCACCCATGCGCATGCACACATGCACCGACACATGTACATACACACACTCACGTACACATTCACACAGATACACGCACGCACGCACACACACACACACACACACACACACACACACACACAGAGTGAAGCTGATACAAGAGCAGTAGAGGGCCGCATCGAAGACCACAATCCTCGCTTCCATCAAACTCACTGCCAAGATGCCCACTTCCTTGCACAAAAACAGCAAAACCAAGCCCTTCCCAGGCAAACCGGACCATAGAGTCAACGCTGTAAAATATGAACATGCCTGTCAAGCCCTCATCCTGAACCCTGGACCACGCACAACCTTCCTGCTCCCGACCTCACCGGCCTCATGCCATGAATGACTCCTGCTGCATTCAGAGGTCCGTAAGGCTACCAACTCGCTCTGCGCCCCCAAAACCCTTCCTGCCCCCTCAACCCCTTTCTGCCCCCCCAAAACCCTTGCTGCCCTCAAAACACCTTGCTGCCCTCAAAACACCTTGCTGCCCTCAAAACACCTTGCTGCCCTCAAAACACCTTGCTGCCCTCAAAACACCTTGCTGCCCTCAAAACACCTTGCTGCGCCCCCAAACCCCTCCTTTCCCCTTAAGCCTCCTTCCCCACGACGGAACCCTTTTCCCCACGACGGAACCCTTTTCCCCTAATACCATTCTCTGACCTTCAGAGGCTGTGCTTGCTCAACTCCTCGCCCTTTCTCCTGCGTCCACAATCCCAAACCCAAAACTACTCTCTCTCTCTCCCTCTCTCTCTCTCTCCCTCTCTCTCTCTCTCCCTCTCTCTCTCCCTCCCTCTCTCTCTCTCTCTCTCTCTCTCTCTCTCTCTCTCTCTCTCTCTCTCTCTCTTGCCCTCACCAAACCCCAACCCCGCAAACGTTAAACCCTCTCCCCCTCTCTCACCAGGGGCGGCGCCTCAAACACGCCAGCTGGCACGTACGGGCGCCTCTGGGACTTGGCCACGTCAGCAGCGAGGGAGTAGTCGAGGATGCGGAAGGTGAGCGTGGGGCCACGTGGCGTGCGCGCCACGCGCAGATATGGTGACACGTCAGACTTGGAGAGCATGAGGAAGTGCGTCACGCCCAGAGGGCCTGCCACGTGTAAGAAGTCCTTGAGATTGTTGCGCCTTGACTCCTGCGAGAGGTTCAGGTTTGAATTTGGGGTACGTGGAGCGCATGAGGAAGCACATCACGCCCAGAGGGCCTGCCACGTGGAGAAGGCCTGCCACGTGGAGAAGGCCTTGAGATTGTTGCGCCTCGAATCCTGGGAGGGTTTGGAGTTAAAGGGTCTGCTTCAAGGTTCTAATTCAAGGTAGACCTAAAGAGTTTGGGGAAGTGTGTCACGCTCAAAGGGCTTCAAGTTTGTTGCCTATATACAGGAAAGGGGTTCAGGGTTTGGGTTTAGCACGACAAGGAGGGGAGGGGATGGGCCAATGCAACAAAAAGTCTAGAATACATTTTCGCCTTAATTTCTGGGAGTCGGCAAGACGAGAAGCGGGGGTCAGGATGGGAGGGAAGGCGATGGAGGGGAGGCGATGGAGGGGAGGCGATGGAGGGGAGGCGATGGAGGGGAGGCGATGGAGGGGAGGCGATGGAGGGGAGGGAAGGAGACGGGGAGATTGGAGGACGCGCGAGGGGGCGGAGAGGGAATGGCGATCAGTGTCTGGAGTTTGTCGGAGAGGGAAGCAGGGAAGGAGATGGATCGAAGAGGGGGCGCGGCGGGGAGACCACACGTTCTCGGCGGAATGAACCTCGAACGTAATGTGCGTTCTCGGAGCGGCGCACCTTGAGTTTGAGCGCGGTGAACGGCAGCAGCATCTTGCGCATGTCCTGCACGAGGCGCTTCAGCAGAATGTTGATCTTCCCGCGCGCGAACATCATGGTGCGCGGCACCTTCTCGTCCGGCGCCATCTGCGCCGCCGCCTCCTCCTCCTTCCCCGCCTGCGCCGCCTTCCGCTTGCTCTCCTTCGTCTTGCGCCGCGCCATCACTGCTCGCTGCGAGACAGACAGAAGATCTTGGAAAGGAAACTCGCAAAGCTACCCTCTACCAGGCGCGCAAAGGGAAACTACTAGCGGGACAGGAGACGCTGTGGCGCGTGCGAAGATTTAGAGCAATTAGGTAAGCAAGAAACTGGTCGACTGTGATGGCTGGGGTCTGTGTCAGGCACAAGGAGACTGGGGAGGGGACACACACGTGAGATCACACATCAATGTGTGGGATGGAACACCATTGTCGCAGCTCACCTCACCCATCCGCGCTACACCTGTCTCCGATAGGATGCCAAATGAGGAAATCTCATCCCAAAAGTGTTTACATGAAACACCCGCTTAGGGCTGTTGTAAAACTAATACAATGATTTACTCACAACTATTGATTTAAACAGAACGAGAAGGATCCGACTGTATTTATGAACAAATTAAATAGTGGATAAATATCGAGAATCTTGGACAGGTTGATTAGATAGCCTAAGACAAGGTTTGAGGGGCACGAAGGCGCCAAAGGGAACGGCTTCTCCAAGGAATTATGGTGGGGAAAGGCAGGTGAAGGAGGATATGTAGTTTTGTTTTACAGGTTCCATTGTAAGGCTTCACAGTATTCGTCCCTATACGAGAGAAGCGGGATCACTTCAAAACAGCACATTCATTCCCCGAGCCAGGCCTACCGAGTCGCCGCGATTGGCACGCTTCAAGCAGCGACGAGGGCGTTTCTTGCATCAGCAATAAATTGATGACTTGGAAGCATGAACCGGTGATGCAACACATTTCTCTCAACGGGGCGAAGTCCCTGGTGTCTGATTGATTCGCAAGTCGACGAGAATTTGATCTACCGTGTCGAGGGCATCCATTCCCACACGCGAACAATTCCTTATTGCTGACCGCGTTATATTGTTGGAACTAGCCTTGAGTTCAGAAGATTCGCCGGAGGAAATTGCGCATGGGAGGGGCCGCGTAGCGTGCACGCGCGAGGTCGCGGGAAGCCGCTTGGTGGACTTCGAGAAAAAAAAAATCATGGCTGACGAGATTAGCGACGCTCGCGAGGGGTATGATTGGCTCCGCGAAGAATTCGTCAACGTATTGAGGAGCAGGCGACGGCCGCTAGACGGTGAGATTCGACAAGAGGGGGGGGGGGGGGGGGGGGGGGGGCGCTTGGAGGAGAGAGGGAGAGCACGGGGAAGAGGCGAGAGGAAAAAGGGCGGGGAATCGGGTGTCAGGGCAGGGCGCGGAAAGGGGAGGGCGAACGAGGAGGCACAGAGAAGGGGAAAGCGAGAGGGGATAGGGGAAAGCGAGAGGGGATAGGGGAAAGCGAGAGGGGATAGGGGAAAGCGAGAGGGGATAGGGGAAAGCGAGAGGGGATAGGGGAAAGCGAGAGGGGATAGGGGAAAGCGAGAGGGGATAGGGGAAAGCGAGAGATGAGGGGGAAAGAGGGAATGGGATGGGAAGAAGAAGGGAGGAGAGTCTGAGGGCTGTCTTGATGAGGGAGGGCTTGCGGTGTTGGTGTGGGATGGCATGGTAGCACGGGAATGCCCCGTGGTAGCACGGGAATGCCCCGTGGTAGCACGAGAATGCCCCATGGTAGCACGGGAATGCCCCATGGTAGCACGAGAATGCCCCATGGTAGCACGAGAATGCCCAATGGTAGCACGAGAATGCCCCATGGTAGCACGAGAATGCCCCATGGTAGCACGAGAATGCCCCATGGTAGCACGAGAATGCCCCATGGTAGCACGGGAATGCCCCATGGTAGCACGAGAATGCCCCATGGTAGCACGAGAATGCCCCATGGTAGCACGAGAATGCCCCATGGTAGCACGAGAATGCCCCATGGTAGCACGAGAATGCCCCATGGTAGCACGAGAATGCCCCATGGTAGCACGAGAATGCCCCATGGTAGCACGAGAATGCCCCATGGTAGCACGAGAATGCCCCATGGTAGCACGAGAATGCCCCATGGTAGCACGAGAATGCCCCATGGTAGCACGAGAATGCCCCATGGTAGCACGAGAATGCCCCATGGTAGCACGAGAATGCCCCATGGTAGCACGAGAATGCCCCATGGTAGCACGAGAATGCCCCATGGTAGCACGAGAATGCCCCATGGTAGCACGGGAATGCCCCATGGTAGCACGGGAATGCCCCATGGTAGCAAACAATGCATTAGAGCGATGCACGTGGTGTGCGTTTGAATGGCATGTGTCAATATCTGTTCGTCCTGCCCCCAGCGCTACCAGTGTCACGCCACGCCACGCCACGCCACGCCACGCCACGCCACGCCACGCCACGCCACGCCACGCCACGCCACGGCTCAATCTGGCGCCCTCCTCTTTGGACTGCATGGTTTCTGAGACGTCTCAATGCCATCATCCCATCATGCCATCATGCCATCATGCCATCATGCCATCATCCCATCATGCCATCATCCCATCATGCCATTATGCCATCATCCCATCATGCTATCACAGAATTCACACGGACTATGCCACGTGTCTCTCTCCTTTGCTATTGGCTGCAGCTCCAGGTTTTTTGGAGGCGAGCTGGCAGGAGAGCAGTCAGAGACTGCCAGGTGCGATTGTACGCAGGGTGGTGGTGGGGAGGTGATGGTGGGATGGTGATGGTTGGAGTGTGACCAAACGAAGGTGATGGTAGGTAGGAAGGGTGGTAGCAGGACTTAGAACCGGCCTTGAGAAGGTGTCCCGCACGTGTCGCTTGCCTCCCTCACATGCACTTTCGTTTCATGCTTCCCACCTCTCATGCTTCCCACCTCTCATGCTTCCCACCTCTCATGCTTCCCACCTCTCATGCTTCCCACCTCTCATTTTCCTTCTCATCTGCCCCCCTGCCTCCTCTCACGTCTGCACCTCCTTCCCTTTCTCTCTGCAGAAGCGTGACTGTCATCCACTTGCTCCTCTCACCCCCTCTCCCCGCCCCTCACCTCCCCCCCTTCCATTCCCTCCCTTCTCTGCACCTCATCCCTCCCTCCCTTCCCCGCCTCGCATCACCCCCTCTCAGACGGCCGGACCCTTCTGTACCAAGATGTTGAGTTGGTGACAGAGGTGCGCGCTCAGCACATGACATGCATGGCATTGCTGCATTGCCCTTGGCATGCGCGGAGGTCTGATTGAGGGAAACAGTTTGTATCGCATCCTCACTGCCACTCGCTTGATTTCGAACGTTCCTCAAAACACGATGCTGTTGCACGTGCCCCCCCTCCATGTCTCTTTGCTTCTCCTTTTTTGCAGCCGTCTTGTCCTTTCTCTCCGTTTTCTTCTTTCTCTCCGTTTTCTTCTTTCTCTCCGTTTTCTTCTTTCTCTCCGTTTTCTTCTTTCTCTCCGTTTTCTTCTTTCTCTCCGTTTTCTTCTTTCTCTCCGTTTTCTTCTTTCTCTCCGTTTTCTTCTTTCTCTCCGTTTTCTTCTTTCTCTCCGTTTTCTTCTTTCTCTCCGTTTTCTTCTTTCTCTCCGTTTTCTTCTTTCTCTCCGTTTTCTTCTTTCTCTCCGTTTTCTTCTTTCTCTCCGTTTTCTTCTTTCTCTCCTTGCTCTCCATGCTCCCACTTCATGTCCTCGTCTCCTGCTGCCGTCCACCCTCTCTCCCACCCCCACGCACCCCCGCAACCCCCCCGTTCCCCCTCTCCCCCACCACGCACTCACGAGTGCATGCTACAGGAGGGAGAGCAGGGCCGTATGCCTGTCACTATAGTGAGTCTGCTTATACCAGAGAACAATGAGCAGCAGCATCAGCAGAAGCGGGCAGCAGTGATTCTGCTGCACAGCACGAATAAGAGCAAGGAGGCTCTGCTGGAGAAGCAGAAGGTTGGTGCCCGCCTGCTATTGCGTCCGCCTCAGATCTCTCACGAGTAAAGAATTTGCTCGTGGCCTCCAGCTGGCCGTGCCTTGGATTTCATCTCTTGTGTGCCGGTCTGCCTGCGCTTGACAAAGCGGCATGACTGCTCATGCTGTGCCGGTCTGCAACTCGCGCATGCCAGCAGGCACAGACTCACGCTTGATTGAAGGCTACTTGCTTGCCTCCCGCTCCACTCCCTGTCTCACCTTGCTCTGCGTGCTTCTGTGCTTGCACATGGTCATGTCTGCATGCATGGTCGTGTCTGCATGCATGGTCATGTCTGCATGCATGGTCGTGTCTGCATGCATGGTCGTGTCTGCATGCATTTATCCACCCACACACCCGAATGTTTCTACTGCTAGCCCCACTCTCTACGTTTGACGCGCCGTGAACCCCAAGGCTGTATCATCACCCCTCCCTTCCTCGCAGGAGATGCTCTCACGTGCTCTGGCTTCCGTGCCATGTCTCCTGCTCGCCTTCCGTGCCATGTCTCCTGCTCGCCTTCCGTGCCATGTCTCCTGCGCACTCCACGTCATCATCGTTGCCCCTCACTCCACGTCATCATCGTTGCCCCTCACTCCACGTCATCATCGTTGCCCCTCACTCCACGTCATCATCGTTGCCCCTCACTCCACGTCATCATCCATGCCCGTCGTCCCGTCCCGTCCGTTCACCCATTGCAGGAGGTGGCGCGTCTCAACCTCGTGGCCATCACATGGCACATCTGCTACCATGGCGCCCGTGCTTCCATGCCATGCCATGTCACGTACTCCTCCTCTCCCCCCCCACCCTCCGTCCCCTTGCTTATTCCCCCCCCATCCCCTTCCCCCTGATTCCACCCTTTGCAGGAGATAGCGTGTCTAGGTTTCGTTGCCATCACGTGTGACAACCGCTACCATGGCGCTCGTGCGTCCTCCCCTTCTGCATACTCCGATGTATGTGCTGCATGCGACTTGATGCCCACAGGTGTTGCTGCGCGGATTCTTGAAGGAAGGATGGATGATCTGATCTCATCTGATCTGATATGAGGCGCTTCACAATGCGTGCGTGCACCCTAGCTGCACGCTGCATGCCTGTCGTCGGCAGGATGCTGGAATGGGTGGCGATGCAGTGGACAGGGAGGACCGCCGCAGTGGTGCGGCCGTGGTGTGCGTCTGAATGCGCACCTCCTCCAACTGCCACCTTCTACTTGCATGCCATGTGACCAGAACTGCTTAAAGGGTAGCTTTGGAGACTGGGATAATGGTTTAAAACTGTGGATCCTTGAATGGGCGATGAATAGCTAGTTCCCCATTTTTGCTGCCATAGTGTGCTTTTAATTTCTCCTGGGATCGATTAAAGGTGAAAACAACTTAGGAGCTTTTGTGCGTGCTGGTCTTGCTGCATAAACCCCAGCTCCTGGAGAGTGGAGCTATGGCTGAGAGGTTGTATCCATGGGGAAGGGATGTGGCACCAGCTTATTTTGGAGCAGCAATGAGGGCGTCTCTTATTCCTTCCCTACGCCTCCCCTCCGTTGCCCCGTCCCCTCCTCCCACCGCTCGTCTCGTTGCTCCCCTGTCTCTGACCGGCAGGCGTTGGTCAGGGCGTGGAGGACTGGACAGGAAATGCCGTTCCTCTTTGATCCGGTACTTGACAGGTGCATTTCAGGTGTTTTTCCAGATTTACCAGGTTGTTTCTCTGTTGCTTTTAAGAGTGCCTGCGTTTCCACGTGTTCATTCTTGCGCCTTTCATGTGCTCGTCCTGGTGTGTCGTATTGTTTCCTTCAGCTGCCTTTTCCCATGCTTTGTCAGGTGCTTTGTCAGGTGTTTTATCACGTGCTTTGTCAGGTGCTTTTTCAGGTGTGGCACCTTCAGATGCGATTCATATCCAGCCCAACAAAGTTTGTCATGAAGTCCACTTCATCTTTCCTCTTCTTTACCGTTCATCTCTGCTGGATGGGATGCGTGCACTCCATACAGCAAAGCACTCCATCTGACAGAGCACTCTCCGAATCGTACTGCGCACTTTCGCTCGTGTGGTATGCTGGAACACAGGTGCACACCGAGCCACGTGGTCGTCTCGTTCCCTCGGCCCACACACCTCTTCTCCTTCCCTCGCCCCACACACCTCGTCTCGTTCCCTTGCCCCACACACCCTTCTCCAGGTGTGGGACGTGCTTCGCCTGCTGGATTATCTCACAGCCGCTCACACCGATATCATCGACTGCTCTGGCATTGGAATCACGGGTGTCTCCCTCGGCGGTAGGCGTGGGCGCCCATCCCCCTTTGACCGTCGTCCCATGCGCCACCCAGCACCTAGCAGCTGCTAACACCCACAGCGTTCACCCTTTAGAATCGGAACCACAGGCGTCTCGCTTGGGGGTCTGCGTGTGCTCTCACCCCTTGCTGTGCGTCATCTTGTGCACTTCTGCCAGCTGCTCGCAGATTGCCATTCTCAAATAGCTCGCTTTCCCCATCGCGCCTCTCAAATTCCTCCACCTTTCCTGCCTTCCTGTTTTCTCAGGCATGCTTGCATGGCTGGCTGCCACAGGAGGCACCCCCTTAGCGGTGCCTCATCCTGAGCCTTCGATTCCTGGCATCATCGCTACGCCCTCTCTCCCTGCGCCCCCAGGCATGGTAGCGTGGCTGGCTGCCATGGTGGACCCCCGGATAGCAGCAGCTGCTCCCATGATAGGCGTGCAGGTGGGGGCGGGCCATCTGGATGAATGCATGGGGCGTGGGTGGGTGCATGGGGTGCATGGGGTGTGGGTGGGTGCATGGGGTGCATGGGGTGCATGGGGTGCATGGGGTGTGGGTGGGTGCATAGGGGGTGGGTGGGTGCATGGGGTGTGGCGTGGGTGGGTGGTGCATGGCAAGGTGCAAAAAAAACGGCGTTTTTTACTTTTTTTTACCGTATGTAACGGCCGTTTAATACGATTAAAACGGTTACAAGTGGTGTTTTCTGACTGGTGCAAAAAAATTGCCGTTTTATGCGGTCGTTTTTTTCATACCGCCGTAAAAAACGGAAGTTCGCTTTATATCGAGGAGGGTGAGGAGGGCGACTAGAGTGAGGAAGGGGAGAACTAGGGTGGGGAGGAGGACAATTAGGAGGAGCAGAGCCTGAGTAGAGTAGGAGGACTAGGAGGAGGACAACTAGGAGGGTGAAGGAAGGGCGAGAAGGACAATGAAAGCAGGTCTAGGAGGAAAAGGATGGTGTTTTAGATGCACGTAGGCTGTCGCCGCTCTGTTTCCAAGCGGTTTTTTAAAGTTAAGGGTTAAAAATAAAAAAAAAGGGGGGGGAAAAAAATCTAACAAAAAAACGGTAGAATTTGCAAAAATATGCCGTATAAAACGACCGTAAAAAAACGCACCGTTTAATACGGAAACCCTTTTTTTGCACCTTGGTGCATGGGGTGTGGTGTGGGTGAGTGTGTGGCGTGCGGTAGTGTAGGTGTGTGGAGCGTACGGGCGCTGAAGATACGTGCAGGTGAGTGTGGACTGTTGGAGCATCTTCCATTTCGCCCCGGCCTCTGCTGCATCTCCTCTTTGATCACCCCCGCCTCCCTCCCACCCCACTTCCCCTTGCTCCCCTGTAATTTTCATTCCCCCAACTCTCCTCTCCACCCACTCGCATCTACCTCCCCCACCCTCTTCCCGTTTCTCTGTGGTGTTTCCAGTGAGCACTTGATAGTGGCAGGCTGGCAGCTTAACTTAACCCCAGAACCCTCTCTTTCTGTATCCAAAATCTTCCAGACCCCAATCGCTGGGCCCGCAACAGCGACGAGCACCTCCCTAGCACGGGCGTCACATATGGCTTACAAAAAGGGTTTTTTTTTATTGTTTCTTTTTTTATATATATACAGCCAGGCTCTTTCTTCATTTGTGTAATCCTCCCAAAAAACACTCCCCATCGACGAGCTCCCTGGCATGTACAGCCACGTCCGGTTGGCCTCAATAAAGTCGTTCCAGAACTCGTGGTCAATGGAGCAATTTGCAGAGTTGAGGTGAAAAGAGTTGTTCTGAGAGGTCATGGTACGAGCGAAGAGCTAGGCGGAGGCCACTGGGATTGGGAACCAGTTGTATTTTGAGTCGACTCAAAATAGGCGGAGGCCACTGAGATTGGGAACCGGTTGTATTTTGAGTCGACTCAAAATAGGCGGAGGCCACTGAGATTGGGAACCAGTTGTATTTTGAGTCGACTCAAAATAGGCGGAGGCCACTGAGATTGGGAACCAGTTGTATTTTGAGTCGACTCAAAATAGGCGGAGGCCACTGAGATAGGGAACCAGTTGTATTTTGAGTCGACTCAAAATAGGCGGAGGCCACTGAGATTGGGAACCAGTTGTATTTTGAGTCGACTCAAAATAGGCGGAGGCCACTGAGATTGGGAACCAGTTGTATTTTGAGTCGACTCAAAATAGGCGGAGGCCACTGAGATTGGGAACCAGTTGTATTTTGAGTCGACTCAAAGTAGGCGGAGGCCACTGAGATTGGGAACCAGTTGTATTTTGAGTCGACTCAAAGTAGGCGGAGGCCCCTGAGATTGGGAACCAGCACCAAAAGCAAGAAGAACGACGGATGGAGCTCTGAGGCGTTCTGGGATTGGAGAAATTTGAGAGTCCCAAGTGGAGGTGAACTGTGGATGGAGCTTGGATGCCCCAGCTATTACAAACCCTGACAACCTCCAGGCTCCACCCACCGTTCACCTTCTCCTTGGGATCCTTCCTTTTTTTTACAAACCCAGCCCTGCCTCTCATTATCGTCCTCCTTCATGCCTCAGATCTCCAGCTCAACCCCCAACCCCCTTAGCTCGTTCTGATTTCCCTGCGGCATCTGCCTCGTACCATGGCATCTGCCTCGTACCATGGCATCTGCCTCGTACCATGGCATCTGCCTCGTACCATGGCATCTGCCTCATACCATGGCATCCTAGAGCGCCGCTACTTACCTCAAGTCTGCAAGTTGCCCTATTGACCACGCTTTTTGGAAGGACTTTAGTGAGGTCAACCATACCTGGCTGTACATGCTAGAGAGCCTGTGGGTAGATTGTGTTTGTTGGGAAGATAACACGGAAAGAAGAGATACCCTGGGTTTATTTTGAAGAATTGTTTTTTTTCAGCCTCGTGCCACCTCCACCTCAAGGAGCTCCTCGCTGGACCTGCAGGGCAGCAAAAAAGGCACTTGTATGCCAGAGTGGCATCGATTTGTGTTCCATGTCACAACTCTGCACTCCCCCTGCCAATCTCCCCCGTCCGTCCTTCCTCCTGTGCTATAGTGGGCCGTAGACTACAACCGCTTCCATGCCCGAGTGGCCCATTTGTGTTCCATGTTCCATCTCTGCACTCCCATGTTCCATCTCTGCACTCCCATGTTCCATCTCTGCACTCCCATGTTCCATCTCTGCACTCTCACCGTCCCACGTCCATCTCCCCTCTCTATTCTCCCTGCAGTGCTTCCAGCGGGCGGTGGACAATGACTGCTTTCGCGCTGTGGTGGCCTCCATTTGCGTTACATGTTCCATCTCTGCCTTCCCAAGTTCCCACCTCAATCTCCCCCATCCGTTCTCCCTGCAGTGTTTCAAGTGGGCGGTGGACAACAACTGCTTCCACGCTAGAGTGGCCTCCATACCGCATGCTTTCAATGGTGCACATCCTTGAGCCCTTGTATTCACTGGATTTCGTTTCGTTTTATTACGTGTGTTCACTGGGTTCACGGCGATACTTGATTTCGGTGCAGTTCTCCCTGTGTCTTTGTTTGTCAATCCTCCCTTACCTAGCGCCTTTAGTCTCCCTCTTCCTGCCTCCCCCCTGCTCGCCTCACCTCAACAGCAGCAGCAGCGGACATGGGGAAGTCAGAGGTGGATGCACAAGTGGTCACAGCGGTGAGTGCCACTTGGGAGTGGAGCACAGTTATCACATGTCAATTACAACCCGATCTTGTAGCATGAGAATGCAAGGCCTTTTATTCTGCTCGTCCGCCATCTCCCGGTGCATGCGTGGCTCGTTAGCATGCTCAATGACTCATGGCAGCAGCCCACCTCATGAGCTTCTTGCAGGGCAGCCAGCATGCATCCCAGCGTGGTGCATTTTTGTTCTCTATGGACCTCTCGACTTTCTACGTCCCTTTCTCCCCACACCCCGGTACCACCTTTTCCCTGTCCCCCTCAGCCGTTTCTGTGTGACACCCTCCCTCTCCCCCCATCATCATTCCACCCCACCTCCCCCCACCCGCCTGTTGAGCCCAGGTGTGGAACCGAATCACTCCTGGCCTGCTGCACCAGTTTGGCCCTCGCAACTCCCTGCCGGCAATTTGCCCGCGGCCACTGCTCATTCTGAATGGTGCGCTTGTGGCACCATGCACCTCACCACAGTGCTGCATCGTACCCTGAAGTCTTCGTTTGAATGCAGGGGGTAGGCACCCGTAGGCCTCTCTCATATCACTCACTCCGTTACCTCTCTACTGTATCGACATGTTTGCAGGGGAGAGTGATCCGAGGTGCCCCGTGGAGGGGTTGAGGGAAGCAGTGAGGCGCACAGAGGAGGCGTACAGCAGGGCACGCGTGCCACACAGATTCGAGGTACACTCCCTGGCTTGCAAACACACAGGCTGAGGCACGGCGAGGGGCCCTCTGCTGTGTCTCGTCTCACTTGGTGCGCACGTCACGAGCTCATTGCAGCACATCCCGTGGGTTTGCCTTCACCTTCGCCACCTACCACAACCCATGGGGTCCTCCTCATGTTCCCCCCCTCTCCTCTCACCTGCCCTGCTGTGCCCTCTCCTCAGGTTTTCTTTCCTCTTCTCCCGTGCCTCTTTCCACGGTTTCGTCTGTGGCAGTTCTATGCGGACGGGGGAGTGGGGCATGAGGTGACGGACGCCATGTGGGACAAGGCAATCACATGGATGCAAACACACCTGCTGGCGGGATGATGGGAAAGGGAACAGCCCAGATGCCAACCTCTACTTCATGGGTGCCAATTGCCTGCACAACTGCTTGGAGAACGTTCCTCTATGAATGTGAAGGTTGATGGTTGAGCCAGAAACTTGTGATGGTGTATCCTGTCATGTTTCTAAGATGTTTGACTAGGCTGGTCTAGTGTCGCTTCGAAATTCCTGCTGCTTCAGCAGTGTATACCGGTACATGTCTAAACAATTCCCAAATCTCTTTCCAGAGTTACACCGCCGCATCACAACCAGTGACACCAAGTTCTCAGTATCAAAGTTAGGAAGATTGACTAAAATGAGGCGTGCAGGTTGGTTTTGTCTAAGGGGTTGTACCCTCTAAGAGTATGCACCTATCTAGCCTATAAGACATGCATAATATGTTTGACACACCCCCTAGGCTAGATGAGGGACAGTGCCTAGCAAGAGACACACTGCTCAGGGTGGCACTACTAGTCCAACCTCTGAGGTAGGGGTCCGAAGACCAGTCCGCAAGAGTACAAATTAAACAAGAGCAACCCATGGCGGTACTACTAGTCCAGCCACTGGGACAAGAGCCACAAGGCCAGTCAAGATAATATAAGGAGTAGTACACAATCATGGTCCTCGGAAGTGTGAAGCTACAGGAACTAGACCAAGCTGTACACAGTGCTGCTGATGATCTTTAGGCGCAAGCGCCTTCGTAAAGATATCAGCTATGTTAGCACCAGAGGCCAAGTGTTCTACGCGGGCCTCGCGGCGCTGCTGTAGCTCGCGCAGGAGGAAGTACCGCAGCTGAATGTGCTTCGCTCTGCCCTCCAGTCGAGGCTACAGGCACAGGAGAATCATGGCCCTGTTGTCAACGTACAGGACTGGGGCAGAGCTAGGCCGCTCACCTAAGTCTGTGAGCAAGAAAGTCAGCCAGCGGAGCTCTTGTGCCACCATGGCACCGGTGTAGATCTCACCCTCACAGCTAGACTGGGCAACAGAGGACGAGCAGGTGGACCGCCACGAGATGGTGCCTGCACCAAGGCTAAAGCAGTAGCCCTGGGAGGACCTTACTGTCTCAGCGTCGTCCGCACACGAAGCGTCTTTGTGCCCTGTAAGGACCACTGGCCGGTGTCCTCCTAGCACTAGTCCCATGCCCGATGTACTTGCTAGATAATGCAAAACCCTCTTAGCGGCCGACCTGTGCTGTGGTCGGTGCCTGCCTGTGGCCACAAAGCGAGCCAGGATGCTGAGAGGGTATGCGAGATCTGGACGAGTGCAAGTCATCATATACATGAGGCAACCCACCATCTCTGCGTAAGGACCACTAGGCTCTACAAACTCCTCAGAGACTTGAGCCGAGAGCCTGTGATATACGGAAAGAGGTGTGGGCTGTGCGAAGGAGAATTGAAGACCGAACCTCTGAAGGACCTGGTGCACCAAGTGTAACTGTATGAGAGTGATGGTGTGCGCTTCTCTGTCCCTGGAGATCTGAAGGCCAAGGTAGCAGCGCAGCTCTCCTAGGTCAGTATAGGTGTGTCTCCTCAGCAACTCGGCCTTCACGGAGGCCAGTGCATCACTGTCTGCAGTAGCAAATACCTAGTCGTGTACGTAGACAAGGATGTAGAACGGGGTCTGGCCAGCACGAACGAAGAGCGAGGGGTCTGCAGAGGACGGGATGAACTGCAGGTCAGCTAGCGTAGCATGAAGCGTGTCGTGCCACTCACGCGGCGCCTGCTGCAGGCCGTAATTCGGGCGCCGGAGGAGCCACTGGGTCCCCAGGGCAAAGGTGTTGGTGAAGCCTGGCGGGCAACGCAGGTAGACCTGCTCGTGTGGACTGCCCTGAAGAAACGCGGTCGAGAAGTTGAGAGATTGCAGCTCGCACTCACGCTGTGCTGCTACGTATAGCAGCGTCCGAAGAGTAGTCATCTTCGGCGTCGGGGTGAAGGTTTGGAAGAAGTGAACACCCTCGCGCTGATTGAAGCCTGTAGCAACGTAGCGTGCCTTGAACACCGGCGGCTCTCCAGGAGGGTGCTTCACCTTGAAGAGCTACTGATCATCGACTACGTTCACCCCAGGTGGAGGAACTGCATTGACGTAGGTGCCGGTGGATCTCTAAGATGCCATCTTTGCGTCCATGGCAGCTATCCAGTGGGACGCCCAGAGTCCCGAGGTCGCCTCAGCGTAAGTGCGAGGGGTTGGGATGTCGAAGGCGTCTGGGTTCCCCTTAGTGTGAGAGTATGGCCCCGTTAAACTTCTTTCTCAATTCCTTCCTTTGATCTTTCTCTCATCTCATTTGGTTTCCTATTCCTCATTTTCCATTATCCTTTGGTTTATCCTATTATTCTAATTATATCACCGACCGACCAAGCTCGGGATGTAGTGCGCGTTATATGTAGCGTAATCCTGTCGTAATCCTTTAAAGCCAATAGCCTCGCGTGTCTATACACAGGGTGATTCTATTTCTAGAAGGGTCTATTCCCTTTGGATAGGATAAACCTGCTTACTTGATGTACCTTGGAAGTATAAAAGTGCATTGTACCAATCGATAGTGCAACTTTTTCCTCGAAACATTCGATCTTGTGACACTCAGGGACTAGCAGCTTGGAGACCAGAGTACGGGCGTAGTTAAGGCGCCGGGTAGAGGCGAAGTCAGCGACGGCAGCGACAAGCGTGTCAAGACTCGAGACAGGAACAAATAGGTCGGTAACGAGGGAGGCAAGGACCCGAGGAGCAAGAGGACTAGCGACACAAAGGTAGCCAGACAGAGGAGGCGAAGCGAGAACAAGCGACGACGGAGGAGGCGACGAGAGGAGGGGAGGACGAGACGCGTGGGAACAAAGCAACATACGTGGGAGCACTGAATAGGGGAGACAGGACGAGCATGAGAGGGACGGCGAGACCAGATGTGGGACGAAGGCGTCAGGTGAGGAGACACAGGCGGAGACACAGGAGGAGAACGAGGGGGGAAACGAGCCAGAGACGAGTCCAGCAGAGGAAAGACAGGACTGGAGACAGGCAGGGCAGGCGGCGGTGGGGGAGGCGCAGGCGGGTGGTCAAGGGAGGGAAGACTAAGGAGGAGAAGAGCGGACACCGGTGGCGACTGTGGCTGCTGCTGGTGTTGCTGCTCCACGCCAACACCAGGGCCTCCAGCTGTACCACGGCTACCTCTGGGACACTCCAATCCAGCACCCCCAGAACAACAACCCTCTCCAGCACCAGTGCCACCCGTGAGACCGCTGAGACAAGCCATGGAAGTAACCCCAGGACTAGCACCCCCAAAACGAGAACCCTCTCCAGCACCGGTGCCTTCCCCGAGACTGCTGGGACGAGCCATGACAGTAACCTCAAGACTAGCACCCTCCCCAATGCCCGCACCCCTAGAACTCGCGGACCCTTGCAGCGATTGCGGCGACCGCTGCTGCTGCGGTGGCGGCGGTGGCGGCGGAGGGGACACCGGGGCGGAGACAGGCGGCGAACCCGAAGCCGCAGGGCCCGCGGAGTCCTCTCACTCCTCAGCCGGAACAAGCGACGGGAGGGGAGTTATGTGAGACACACCAGTCGGGGCAGGACGGGGAGGAAGAGGAGTAGGGGCACCTGGGGGGGTGGGGACCAAGAACAGGGGCGGGGCAACCGGGAGACCTTGGTGGGGAAAGCGGGTGTAGAAAGAGACAGACTCGTCAAAAGTGACATCACGCGAGTGAAAGAAGGGGTGAGACGGCGGGTGGTAAAAGTGCCTGTTAGACGCGTCGGGGGGGAAACGAAGGAAGACACACGGGACAGTGCGGGCAGTGAGCTTGTCTGTGCCAGCGGCACGAACGTGAGCAAGGCAGCCCTAGACGTGGAACGCAAACGCGTCACTAGGGAACCCGGTCCAGAGGAGGGTCAGCGAATCCTGCGGCCGCTGGGAGTGCGGCCACAGGTTAAGCTCGTGAGCGGCGTAGCGAATAGTGAACGGCCACTACAAAACGGGGTGCACCAGCATGAATCATGGAGGTACAAGCAACCTCCATGATCAAACCGATGCGTCACTTAGCGACCCCATTCTGCTGGGGGGAATCCGGCAGGGTGTACGACTGGGTGATGCCCTCCGCGCGACAGAACTGGCCAAGCTGACCGGAGGCGAACTTGCAACCACGGTCGAACTGTAGACGCAACACAGAAAGGCCGCGGTGGACTCGCGCAGCTATGACCCACGAGATAAGGGCGTGAGGCACGTCGGCCTTCCAATCCAGAGGAAACATCGTGGTGTAGAACGTCAAGTCATCAACAAGCACTAGAAAGTAGCTCTCTCGATGCGGCCCTGGGATGGGGGCTGGGCCCCAGACGTCCACGTGCAGGGTCTGGATTGGCACAGTGGTAGGGGGAAGTGAGGAGGAGTGAGGAGCACGGCGCAGCCGGCCCTCGACGTAAGGTGTGCACGGTGGCGCAGGCGAGGGAGGAAGGGCAGGGAGTGACGCGGGAAGTTCGAAGACAAGACCGTGATGTGACATCTGACACAGACACGGGAGGGCGGGGTGACCTAGGCGGTGGTGCCACAGAAGTTACGGGTGAGTGAGCGACCGACATGAGCAAGCCGCAGCAACCTGGGTCGACACAGACACCTAGGGCGACGCCCTCACCGGGGGGGGGGGGGGGGGGGGGGCGGTGTCAAGCATGAGAAAGCCAGACACCGGGTCCTGGGGGGAATGTGGTGAGGGGGGCATCTGTGGCGGCCTCGGTACAGACCGCGTACTGCTCGTGTACGGGGAACGTAGTGGTGACGCTGAGGTCCTAAAGACAGCCGACACCAACTAGGTTGCTGGAGAACGAGGGGATGTGTAGACCTGTAAGAGAGCCCAAGGGGACAGCCAGACGGGGAAGGGTGGTGGAGCTACGGGCAATTACTGACCCTGAGGAGGGGTCAGCAAGTGCGACAGCGGCAGGGACAGCAAGCGGCGTAAGCGCAGTGTGGTTGGGGAAGACACAGGCAGACGCTCCAGAGTCAAGCGTGAAAGAAAGCAACGCAGTAGCGTCAGCCAACGGGGGGGGGGGGGAAGGGGGGGGGGCGGCTAGTGTGAAGCCTAGGCTAAACAAGGCAGAGGGTCCTACGCCTGACGCAGCAAGGGAGTCTAGACTACACACAGAACACTGGGTAATAGGGTACAATTACACTAGAGTCATCAGCATATATGACCGACATAGCAGCCCTTATGTGATCCATGTCAAGCTCAAATATAGGCACACGGCGCCGCGCCAGGGCGTACCAGTCAGGAGGATCCGATGTGGGACCGAAGTGGTGACGGAAGAGGTTGTCCATGCGGCGGTAGTAGCAGTCAGCAGTGTGGCCAGAACAGGAGCAGACGGTTCTGCGGGAGGGGGGGGGCGGTTGGAAGCTGGTATTGACAGGTGACCGCACTGGAGCTGCCACACGACACTGAGTCGTGCCCCCCACCACTACGACCACTGCCACCAGCAGTGCCAGTCCAACACGGCGGCGAGGGTCCCCACGGTGACTGCTGGTGCTGCTGCTGCTGCTGAGGCTGCGGCTGCCGCTGCTTTGGGGCACCAGCCCCGGTCCCCTCATCGGAACCACCATCCCCGCCCCCACCTCCACCACCCTCACAAACCCAACCACCCTTCCCCCCGCCACGCCCCCCTTTGCGACGGCGGCCCCTACCTGGATGCGGCTGCGCTGTGGCCGCAGTGACGGTCTCAGCAACACCGGCAGAGACGTCAGAGTAAGTGCACTGGAAGGGAGCACAGCCCTGAAATATAGGGACCGACGCAGTACCGCTAGACTGAGCGATAGTGCGCTGGCGGGTCTTTATTGCGGGCAGGGCAGTTGTGAGAGTCCGACCCCGTTACACCAATTTCTCTTTTGGTTTCGGATTTCTCCTATTCCATTATCCTTTGGTTTATTCAGTTATTATTATTATATCATCGACCAAGCTCGAGATGTACTGGTGCTCTATATCTAGCATAATCCTGTCGTAATCCCTTAAAGCGAATAGCCTTGCGTGGCTATACGCAGGGTGATTCTATTTCTAGAAGGGTCTATTCCCTTAGGATAAACCTGGTTACCTGATATACCTCGGAAGTATAAAAGCCACCTGTATCAATCGATAGTGCAACTTTTCCTCGAGACATTCGATCCTGTGACACTTGGTAATCAGAGCTTCTCTCACTCAGCCGCGCTCAGCTAAGCAGAAGCAGCGGGAAAACCAGCTTTGAAAACCCGCTGGGGGAGACTACTTCGGCGCGAATTCTAGTAAGCACCAGCTCCGCGTTTTTTGAATTCACCCCTCCGTGCGTGTTTCGGGAGGGACTCAATAGAAGGAGAAACTTGTGGAGATCATACCAGTACTGGACAACTTGGGGACAAACTTGGCCGACCTTTCCACGGACTCAACGTCCTCTCTCGATACCAGCCCACAATGACTACGCGTTCCCCAACGAAGATGTCGGTGGAGCTGAAGCAGCTCAAGAGGAAGCTGGGGGTCTACAAGAAGCTGCAAAAACCCCGAACTCCTCCTCCGGATGCATCCAGCTCAACAAATTCGGCATCAACGACACACACAGTCGTCAAGAAAGCTCAGGGTCCTGAGGGAGAGACTTTCTCCAAGCAGCCTCGGCCAGCTGCTAACCCACGAGCAGATAGCAAGAAAAAGGTGTGTATGGAATATTGGGATGTACCCTATGATCCAATTAACGAGCCTATCTTTGGGTACTCCGAGCAACGCCCGCCCCTCGTGCTCGAGGTCATCAGCAAAGGACGACACGTCCAAGCACTCGTGGACAATGGAGCATCACACACCGTCTGCGACAAAGCAGTAATCGAATGACTTTGGAAAGAGTACAAGCCTTCAGTATTCTCTGCAACGATGGTGGACGGCAGCAAGTACACGGCGAAGCAGTGTTACACCTACAAATCGGACCACTACACTGGAGACCTGCACTCCCCATCACCAACATAAGAGGGCTTGACTTGATCTTCGCGTGAGACTTTCTAAGAGGATTCAACCCCGAGATCAACAGGGTAAATTGTACTGCAAGCATCTACAACAATGGGAGAAGAGTCCAGCTACCCAACAGGGATGATACTAGAGATATCCAAGTGGAGACACTCGCAATATTCGAGAAGGACGAAAAACGAACGGACACCGGGTTCCTGGCGATAGCAACAGAGGTGGAAAAGGGCGGGGAGAAAACCTCGGAACCTCCACAAAAAAACAAGGAATTACTGAAGGATTTCCATGACATTCTTCCCGACAACCTTCCGAACGAGCTGCTACCATACCAAACGCACCAACACGAGATCGTGGAAGAACCAGGTTCGAAGCCGGCCTTCCGAGCACCATATCGGCTCAGCCCCCACGGAGCTAGCCGACATGAAGAAACAGATCGAGTATCTCCTCACAAAAGGACCCATCCAACCATCCACTTCGTCATACGGTGCCCTAGTACTCTTCACACCGAAACCGGACGGAAGCCTGCGCATGTGCATCGATTACCGAGCTCTCAACAAGAAAACCATCAAGAACAAATACCCAATCCCACGAATCGATGACCTGCTTGACTAGATTCAGGGAGCCACGGTATTTTCCAAACTGGATCTACAGTTCGGATACTGCTAGATACGAATGGCGGACAATTCCATCCACAAAACTGCTTTCAGACTCGGTGCGGGTCGTACGCGTATCTGGTAATGCCGTTCGGACTCACCAACGCACTGGCAATGTTCCAAGATGAAATGAACCATATTCTATGCCCACTCTTGGACGAATGCATGGTGGTGTACCTAGACAACATCCTCATCTACTCGCGCGACATGCAGTAGCACGTCCATCACCTGCGACGCGTCTTCGACATTCTCTGACGAGAACGATTCTACGTCAAGCTATCCAAGAGCGAATTCGCTCTCAAGAGAGTCCAACTCCTAGGACACATAGTGAGCGCTCAAGGAGTTCACGTTGACCCCAAGAAGATCAAAGCCGTACGCACGTGGAAGACACCCGAGAACGTAAAGGAGTTGCAGTAAATCCTAGGCTTCGCTAACTATTACAACAACTTCATGCCACAGTACGCGAAAATCGCAACGCCACTCACGAATTTGCTGAAGAAAAACACGCCATATAAGTGGGAACCAAAACATCAAGAAGACGTGGAGCAGCTGAAACAAGCACTCACGTCCGCACCCGTACTCATCTTGCCAGACCCCGAATGCGACTACGTCATCAAAGCTGACTCTAGCGACCAGGCAGTGGGAGCAGTCTTGATGCAAGACCAGGGGAAGGGACTGCAACCAATCGCATACCTTAGCAAGAAACTACACGGGGCAGAACTAAACTACCCGATAGACAACAAAGCGGCCCTTGCTATTATCATCGCCTTCAAAATGTGGAGATGTTATCTCGAAGGATGACAAACAACCGTCTACACCGACCACTGCAGCCTGAAATATTTGAAGACACAGCCAAACCTCTTCACATGGCAGGTCCAGTAGATTGACTTCCTCGAGACGCACTTCCACTATGACATCGTGTACAAGCTCGGCCACAAAAACAAAGTAGACGCTCTCAGTCAGCCTGCACACGTTGCCGCAATCCAGGTCGAAGGGATGAACCCACTTCTCAAGGGACTCTTCACACACGGGTACGCCATCGACCCCGAAATTCTTTTGGCAGAAAAACGACACCTGCTATAGTGGGACAGTGACATCGCATACCGGAAGGGATCAACAAAAATATGGGTACCCAATTACCCTCGTTTGCGCCAGTTACTATTCGAAGAATACCACGATGTCCTATAAGCGGGACACTTCGGTAGCAACAAAACACTCACCGGTAATGCAAAGCACTACTAATGGCCCCATGTGGCAGCTGACGTCCAACAATTCGTCACCTCGTATGCTACATGTCAACGGATGAAGAGCAGCAAGCAGAAACAAGTAGGACTGCTACATCCTCTTCCTGTCCCAGAAAAACCATGGCAAGTGGTTAGCCTAGATTTCATCACCGGGCTACCAACTACCACTAGCGGTCATGACGCAATCCTCGTCGTCATCGACAAATTCTCCAAAATGGGACACTTCATCCTGACACACACGACAGCACGCACCGAAGAAGCGGCACAACTATTCGTTCACTACATCCTCTCACAACATGGCATTCCAACCACACTCATCTCCGACCGAGACCCCAAGTTCACCAGCAAGTTCTGGAAGGAACTAATGTCTTTGCTTGGGATCAAACTCGCCATGTCATCCGCCTACCATCTGCAGACAGATGGACACACTGAGCGCCTCAACCAAATTGTAGAGCAACTCCTCCGCGCAGCATGCAAAGACGAAATCTCTAAATGGTACTTGCATCTGCCCGTCCTGGAGTTTGCCTACAATAACGCCACTCACGCTGCTACTCGACAGACGCCCTTCTTCCTCTGCTACGGACGCCACCCGCTCATGCCACAGAAACCGACAGCATCAGCCACAGTCCAATCCGCACACGACTTCATCACAACCATGCATCAGCTTTGGGATCAGACCCACAAGCGCCTTCTCGACATTCAGCAGCAATAGAAGTGCCAGGCCGATCGCCACCGCACTGACCACACCATCACCGTGGGAGGTCAGGTTCTCCTTGACACCTGCAATATCAACATCAGTCATCTCAAATCCAAATTGCGACCTCGCTTCTGCGGGCCCTTTCTCGTTGAAGCACAGGTCACTCATGTTACCTTCCGCTTACGCCTACCAGCTACCTGGAAGATTCACAACGCCTTCCATGTCCAACTTCTGAAGCCCTATCGAGACCCTAACACAGTCTTCACCGGACGCCAACCCCCGCCGCCGCTGCCTTGTCCTCGTCCACGATGAACCCAAGTACGAGGTCGAGTCCCTGCTCGCACACCGCCGTCGTCGGAATGGCATCGTGGAGCTTCTCATTTGTTGGAAGGGTTATGATCCTTGTGAGGATACTTGGGTTCCTGAATTTGAGATGGGTAACGCTCGTCGTCCTCTTCGCGAATTCCTTGTCAAGTAGGGTGTTACTTCTACCACCCAGCTTTGAGGGGGAGAAGTGTGAGAGTCCGACCCCGTTACACCAATTTCCCTTTCCATATCTCCTTTCTATTTCATTCCTCTTTTTCTCTCATCTCATTTGGTTTCCTATTTCTCCTATTCCATTATCCTTTGGTTTATCCTATTATTATGATTATATCACCGACCAGGCTCGGGATGTACTGGCACGCTATATCTAGCGTAATCCTGCTGTAATCCCTTAAAGCCAATAGCCTCGTGTGGCTATACACAGGGTGATTCTTATTCTAGAAGGGTCTATTCCCTTTGGATAGGATAAACCTGGTTACCTGATGTACTTAGGAAGTATAAAAGCGCCTTGTATCAATCGATAGTGCAACTTTTCCTCGAGACATTCGATCATGTGACAGTAGTGACAAAGGCGGTGAGGGTGAGTTCACCTGGGTGGTGACTAAGGAAGTGGTCGCAGGCTGTGGCTAGGCGGTCGGGAAGACATATGGCAATGAGGTAAAGCGTAGCGCAAAGCGGCAGTAGAAAGGCAGTGAGCTCATCCTCAGTGCTAGCGGCGCGTTAGCTAGTCTCAAGTGTCCGGAGGTGAGTGGCAAGATTGGCGACAGTGGGGAAGGACGCAAGATCAGGGAACGGTATGGAGAGGATCAAGCGGCCAGCAAAGGCTGAGATGGGGGTGGAATAACGCGCTATGACTGCATCTAAGAATTCCTTGGTGTTCGCTACAGTGGTAAAGCGGGGATGCTCAGCCAAGGGAAGTGCGTGACTAATAGCAAGCTGTGCAACTGTGTCGCGCGACTCCCAGACAGCGCGAGCAAGAGCAGCAGCAGAAAAGGTCTCACGCTCAGCAGTGGTGGGGGCGTCAGGGAGGGCAACAGGCGCAGCGGGGCGGGGAAGCTGGCTATCGACTTGAACAGCCAGGGAGTGACCGTCCGGGCACTGACCTGTAAGGTGACAGTGAAGGTCGACGAGCCACGCCTCGAAGTCGACCGCTTGGCCCTCCGCGTTCTGGCGGACTAGTGAGTCCGCCATCACCATGGCTGCAGCGCCTGACTACCGATGACCAGGAGAGGAGAAAAGGCGGAGGAAATTGAGTCAACGCGTGAACAGTGGGTTCGCGCGTATAGTCACCTGAAGGGTCACGCCACTCTTAATCACACAAACAGTCACTAGTCATGCCACGCGAATAGTCGTGATACACTACGAACAGGTACATCCCGAATAGGTACTTCCTCAACTATAAATATGCCTGTATTATCGATACTCATTATTATTATCCTTCTGACATTTCCAATACAAGGTGTAAAGTCTTCCACTGACTTGGTTCCACCAACTCTAGATCCTGGCCACCCTAAACATGTGGTTCATTTTTACATGGTATTCTGAGCAAGTAGAGCTACAGGAACCGATACAAGCTGATTTTGATTACGCCCTTAACCTTAAGTTAGGGATCTATAACAATGTCAGCTACTAAGACAGGAAATTCAACTACCAATTCTCCTACTTCTGGTCTATCTACTGACGATATCTCTGACTTTGCTTCCTTGATGGCTAATCAGCCTACTCAGCAATAACAACATGCTCCAGCGCATCCTAAAGATTCTATGAGCCTTGATAACTCTTGTTATGCAAGAGTTGATGTTGCCGCTGCGGCTTCAGCCCTTGGAGATGAACCTGCTCAACCACAGCAATAACAACCACAGCATCAACAACATCAAATGGCAGAAGAAAGACCATTTCCTGCAGAAGCTGTCGTTAATCAAGCAGATTTCTGAACTATCTCCAAGCTGAAGACCTCAGCTTACTTTGATGGCCGCAACTTTTATACTTGAGGATTCGAGTTCGAACTCACACAATCTTTGGGTATCTAGGGATATTTTGACGGTACAATCCATTATCCAGAAACAGGAATGACCGAAGATCAGTCGTATAATAACAAGTATTCGCTTATGGCCTATACATTACGGGTCCGGAATCTCATAACTGAAGAGCAGTTGGGAGTTCAGTGATTCAAACCTTCACTCGCTCCAGCCTTCTACGCCTAGGATTATCTGCAAAGGTTGTATCAAGCACAAGATTCCGTTTCACGGAGCAAGCTGTTAATTCAACTCACAACAATACAAGTGCTTCCTAGAGAAAAAGCCAGCAGCTACATCAACAGGTGCAGAAATCGTCAGGACCAGCTTGGCAAGTGCGTAGGAAATCTCAGCAATGAACTCTTTGTCACTATTCCTCTGGCTGGACTTGGACCCGAATGGTGGGAGTGCAAGTCCCTTCTTCATTCCCTAAGGAACATCTCGGAAACTTCTCTTTGTGCTACTCTTATGGCAGAGCAGCAGGACTTGGACCTGTACAACGCAAAAGGAGGCAAAGGCAAAAGTGGGTTAAGCTTCTATACAGGTGGACCAATTCAAGGGGAGCAGACAAGAGAGGCATCAAATCAATGGGAGCAGACATGAAAATGAGGAAAGGGCTGCTGCAAGTTCTGCAAACAAGCGGGTCATTATATTGAAGAGTGTTAGAAACTAAAGAACAGGAATTGGGAGAAGTCGGGTGGAGCCGCCCCTGTCAAGACTATCTCGCTGCCTTCAGCTTCTTCACCTCAACCTGCAAAAGGCAAAGCAATCATTAATTGCATGATTGGACCACACTGGTCTAGTGGTATATGCTAATGGAGCCGACGAGACAATGACAGCGACATTGATATGGAAGAAGGACCAGCTACAGCGACGGAACAATTTGTCCGCAAAATGGCACTGTTGAGCAAGTTCGCGATGTTTTTGCAAGTATAAATGGATAGATATCAATATGGAACCTATGGACATTATGTAGAAACAATTGATGCACCTCCAGATATGTTGAACGCTAGGAGATATCGATTTCCCAATAGCGAGTACAAGCTTTAAGGCTCGATGGTCGATGTGGACAAATACTACCCGAGGAGAGACTAGATCTGTTTCCGCCGAGCATTTTTTGCACGAGCTAGCAAAGTCGCTTAGACTTTCGCTAATGCTTGCCCCTTACCCCGTGAGCCTCCAGTAGGCACGCGGCCGCTTGCTTCGTGTCACAGATAGAGGATCATGAGACTCTGTCGCTAGGGTCTGAGTTTCCGACAGATCGCACGTACGCTAGGAATAGGGAGAAGAATCATCCAAAAAAATGCTATGAAGGCTAGTAACAGAAGTAGTCATCTAGCAGCTAGGCCAACAGTCCCCTCTTCAGGTCGACATCGATTGCTCTCAGCATGACACGTGCGCACCTTCGTGCACATCATCATGTTAGGTGTCGCATTGACAGGCATAAAGGTTGTGTATCCACTGGAATCGTATAACGATGTTAAGGTCCACCCTCGTACTGCACGAAATGCTCTCAAGCTGCCTGAGTTAGTCGCCGTGCAGACACTGCGCAAGTCTCAACTATCAGCACGCAACGGCCGCGACCGTCGGTATTTTGCCAGAGCCCATTTGGACTGGACTCTGGATGACTTAAAGCAGGTGATCAGGTCGGACGAGATACGGATCGCTCGATATTGCTCGGAAAGCCGCACCCACGCATGGATTCGCGAAGGCACCACTCTCCAAGGGCAACAGGTGAAGTTGATTGTGAAGCATGAGGGTGGGTAAGTCATGGTTTGAGTATGTATGACGTATGATGTGCCTGGTTACATGTGCAATATTGATGGCCACACGGGTGGCCAACTCTATCGCATCATATTGCAGGACGAGGTGGCTCAAGCTCTTAATTTCTATTATTTAACCATCTCTGGCATGACTTTCCAGTACATTGTACGACCCCAAACCCAAGTGCAGGATCATTCAAGAGTGGCTAGCAGAGCAAGATTTCGCCGTCCTGCAATGGCCCTCTTCCCCCCCTGACCCCAATCCCATCGAGCAGCTCGCCAAGCATGAGCACCCCCTCACAGGCATGCTGCAAACTTGGGAGTAGGTGCACGAGACCTGGGATAGCATTGGGGCTGGCGTGTGTGAATCTCTGTTAGACAGTATGCCTAGGAGGATCACAGCAAGAAATAGGGCCAAGGGAAGATGGACATGGTATTGATATTGATAATTTCAACTGTGGCTCATCCTGGGAACATTCTGTCCGAGTGTACCTCTTCTGATCTTGGTTGTTCTATGTTCTATTATGGTGTGTTTTTTAGACAACATGTTATTTGTCACACAAGCCTATAACAGTAGCAACTAGAACCTTAAAACCAGAAAATAAAAAACCTGCTCAGTTTCTCATGGGCTCTGATTTTGTCCACTTCATGACCAACATGTGGACAGAAAGTTCCGTCACTGTAACTTACCTCCACGTCTTCGTCCTCGTTCACAAACTCCAAAACCAGCAGTCGTTATTGAAGAAGAACCAAAGCAGCCTAACAACTTTCCTTGATGATTGAACGTGCAGCCGTACGCCCACATCGCAAAGCGTGCGTATCCTGACCATGTCGACACTTGGTTTCTTAACAGCTGTTACGGTCACCACATGGCGTCTTCAAGTTGCTATCTTCTCACTGGGTGCGACCTGCCAAAAGGAGAAAAATACAACATCACCGTAGCCAATAATCAAGTCATTGAAGCAGCCAGAATCGGTGACGTGATACTGGAATCCGATGACACAGAAGTTTCACTTCACCTTAACAAGGTTCTCGGTGCCATGGGGCTCGGCTTCAACTTATTATCACAAGCTCAGCTGATGGAACGCGGCATCTGCTTTGTCAGCACTGCCGACACGATGCTCACGGAGTTGTACCTGGGCGACAAGAAGGAAGACAAAAGTAACTAAGTCGGCGTCGTAAAAATTAAAGACAACATTTCCGTTTTACAGTTCTCACCTGTCAAAGCATCTGGCGACAGTGAGAAGAACGTCTCCCTTGCTCCTTCGCATCATCACTGGGACATAGATTACCAACGCCAAGACCATCGTGGTCTCAACGTCTTCTGCGTCACACCTCAGCCTTCTCGCACCAACTTTGTCGATAAATCTACAACAGAGATAACAAAAGCAGCAGCAGCAGTAGTATCAACAGAAACAGATCAAGCAGCGGGACAGCAATTGGGGTTATACTAATCAAGAACCAACATCTGCTACTGTCGAAGCACTGATGGAAGTTGACTGTACATGGGGCAAAAAAGAATTGCTCATACCCGATGCTTGGGCTCGTCGCCGACACCTCGGCATAGCTTGGGCTGAAACTGTCAAAGAAGCCGGATTCATCCAGCCTTTCGGCACTGGCCGCTGCATTAACCCTTCGCCAACGATTCATCTTTCGCCGGCCTTCTTCCTCCCCTCCGACTTATACCTTCGTTCAAAGGGACACAGGACTACGGCAGAAACTTGGCACAAGCGGTTAGCTCATACCTCACAAGAAGCTCTTAACAACTCGATTAAAGCCTCAGTTTTCGACAAGGGCGCACTCCTTGTAAACAACGGCCAAAAACTTTGACCTAGCAGTCGCCAACTACCCTGCGCCATCTGCCCCGGTGCTCACCTGAGTCATGCTCCATTCCTGTTGCACTTCCCAAGTGCTACTAAGTACTCACCTATCAACGTCTTCTTCAATGACATCCTCTTCATGCCGCAGGAAGCAGAGGATTTCAGCGGCAACAACTACCTCTATATAATTACCTTCATCGACGGTGCTACTCGATATGTCTGGCACAAGAATATAGTATCTCTCACAAGTCTAAAGCTCTCGATGCCTTCAAAATATGGCTGAAAATTACGGAGTGGAAGAGCGGCATCAAGCTG